CCAAGAAGACTTTCCACATCAAGCAGATGTTCACCTGCACATCTGCTAATGTGGTATACTGCATCCGCTGTACCCGTTGTGGCCTCCTCTACATCGGGGAAACCAAGCGGAGGCTTGGGGACCGCTTTGCAGAACACCTAAGCTCGGTTCGCAATAAACAACTGCACCTCCCAGTTGCGAACCATTTCAACTCCCCCTCCCATTCCTCAGACGACATGTCCATCCTGGGCCTCCTGCAGTGCCACAACGATGCCACCCGAAGGTTACAGGAACAGCAACTCATATTCTGCTTGGGAACCCTGCAGCCCAATGGTATCAATGTGGACTTCACAAGCTTCAAAATCTCCCCTCCCCCTACCGCATCCCAAAACCAGCCCAGCTTGTCCCCGCCTCCCTAACCTGTCCTTCCTCCCACCTATCCCCTCCTCCCAACTCAAGCCCCACCCCCATTTCCTACCTACTAACCTCATCCCGCCCCTTTGACCTGTCCGTCCTCCCTGGACTGACCTATCTCCTCCCTACCTACACTCACCTTTACTGGCTCCATCCCCGCCTCTTTGACCTGTCTGTTTCCTCTCCACCTATCTTCTCCTCTATCCATCTTCTATCCGCCTCCCCCTCTCTCCTTATTTATTTCAGAACCCCCTTCCCCTCCCCCATTTCTGATTAAGGGTCTAGACGCGAAACGTCAGCCTTCCTGCTCCTATGATGCTGCTTGGCCTGCTGTGTTCACCCAGCGCTACACCTTGTTATCTCAGATTTTCCAGCATCTGCAGTTCCTACTATATCTGACAAACAAACCACTTTGTAAATGCAAGTCTGTTCCCTCAAAATTTACTAATTATACGGGATGTCTCAAAGCATTTACCGAAAATTCAGTATTTCTAAAGGAGTCATTTTGAATTATTTTGTAAAAAATGTGGGCAGCCAATTTACACACCAATATGTTCCAGAAACAGAAATGTGACATGGCCAGATATTTCCTTTTTATTCCATAGGAATTGGGCCTCACAAACTAGGCTAGCATTTAATGTCCATCCCCAATTGCCCTTGAGAATCTGGCTTCTTGAACTGCTGCAGTCCATGTGGTGTAGGTACACCCATGTTACTTTTAGGCAGAAATTCCAGGCTTTTGATCAGCAATGACAATGTAGTTATAAAGTCAGGATAGTGAACATGCAGGTCATGGTACTCCCATCTATCTGCTGCCCTTATCCTTAGAAGGATTGGGAATTTGAAAGGTGCTGCTTTGTTATTAATTGAGAGATAAACATTGGCCAGAATAATTTCTGCTTTACTTCATCAAATCTTTCAATCACAAGAGGCAGATGGGGCTTCAATTTAACATCACATTCAAAAGATGGTACTTCAAGCAGTGCAGCACTCCTTCAAGACTGCACTGGTAGTATCAGACTAAACTTCTGAGCTCAGGTCATTGGTGCAAAATCTGAACTGGTCACATTGTGGTGCAGGGATGAGAGATCAAAGTTGACCTATGCCTACACTTCAAGGTACGTACTTATGGAGTTACTTTCTCCTTTAGCGCATTTAAAAGAAAAATATTATACTCTACTAACCTGGATCCTCTTGACAGAGGCATTAGATTGTAAAAGTAATACACCAAAGAAAGGATAAGGTTGCACACAGCATCTGTTTCCTGGTTCAAAAGAGAAAATAAAACAAACATTTATTTCTGAAGAGACAGTTCTTAACCGATTAAAGACAGAGAAGACACAGAACACTTTTAATCGGCACAGAGGGTGAACAACTCGATTCTAGGTCTCTTTTTTTTTTTAAAAACAGTGCTGTAGGCATTTCTATCCCCCATAGACTGCAGCAGTTCAAGAAGGTGGCTCACCACACCTTCTCAAGGGCAATCAGCAATGGGCAATAAATGCTGGACAAATCAGTGTTGCCCACACAATGTAAACACATTTTTAATATATTAAATAAGCTGTTCAGACATACTTGAGAGTAATTTTGAAGTGATTTAAACTCTCCTTCCTTCACCTCTATTCAGCACACCCACCACTCTAAGGTCCATAGATTTCTGAAGAAGGTTCACTGGACTCAATGTTAACTTTGTTTTCTCTTCACAAATATTGCCAGACCTGCCGAGTTTCTCGAGCACTTGCTTTCGCTTGTTTAGGGTACGTAGGAGTCTGGTCTATTGGTTTATTACAAGATAATGTTTTCCAATGGCCTACACTACTAAAGTTGCATGATTTAAAAGTAATATTCCCATTTTAAATACTTTTATTCAAAAAAATGCGAGGTGATAGCAAAGCTGTATGATCGGTGGACTAATAATCTATGAATAGGAAAGGTCTGGAGGGATATGGGTCTGGATCAGGCAGGTGGGACCAGTTTAATTTAGCATTATGTTCCACATGGACTAGTTGGACCGAAGGATCTGTTTCCATGCTATGTGACTATGTTTTGGGGACCAGGTTCAAATGTCACCAGGGAAGATGATGGAATTTCAATCTGATAAAATTCTGGAATTAAGATTTTTGGAAGAACCCATCTGGTTCATTAATGTTCACTGGGAAGGAAAACACCACCGTTACCTGGTCTGGCCTTTAAATGACTCCAGACTAACAGCAACGTGGTTGACTCTTAAGTGCCCTCCGAAGTGGCCACTCAGCTGTAACAATTGTTAGAAGGTCTCAAAAAAAGGAATGAAGCCAGACAATTCACTGGTATCAACCTAGGCACCGAAAACAACTAGCTTGGGCTAGTGAGTGGCAAGTACCATTTACACCATGCCAATCCCAGAAAATGACCATCTCCAATAACAGCACATTCAATGGCATTACCATCACTGAATCTCCCACTATCAACATCCTGGTGGTAACCATTGACCAGAAACTGAACCCTGGACTAACCATATAAATAGTGGCTACAAGAGCAGATCAGGGGCTAGGAAGCCTACAGCGTGTCACCTAATGACTCCCCAAAACCTGTCCACCATCTACAAGGCGCAAGTCAGCAGTGGGATGCAATACTCCATATATGCCTGGTTGAGTGCAGCTTTAATAACACTTGAGAAGCTCGACACCATCCAGGTCAAAGCAGCCTGCTTGAATGGCACCACATCCACAAGCATCCACTCCTTCTGCCACCAATGCTCAGTAGTAGTAATGTGTGCCTATAACAAGGTGCACCACAGACCCCCTAAGGCAGCACCTTCCAAACCCATGAATATTCCCACCTAGAAGGAAGAGGGCAGCAGATACCTGGGAACATCATCACTTGCAAGTTCCCCTCCAAGTCATTCACGATCCTGATTTGGAAATATATCACTGTTCCTTCAGTATTGCTGGGCAAAATCCTGAAACTTCCTCCCTGAAGGTATTGTGGGTCTACTTACAACATACGAACTGCAGCAGTTTAAAAGGCAGCTCACCACCATTCTAAATGCTGGTTCAGCCGGTGACACACACATCCCATGAATGAATTTTTAAAAATGACCCAGAGGTAAACCTCAAATAAAACTGAATAGTGTCACTGTTAGAAAGTAAAGAAAACTGCAAATAGAAAATCAATGAAAAAGGTGAACATTCAGTAAGATTTAATTGTTGTTGCTGTAGACATACAATTAGATTTATATGTATTTGGTGTCAAGTCCTCTTTAACACATATTTCACATTTGTTACCAGACCAGTAACGTTTCAAATTAAACTCATTCTTTTAAAGAAAAATCATAAGACCTGAAGCGATGGACTTATGAGAGAAGGGGATTCCTCATACTCAACAATAGACAACTCTGCAAGCCTACACATAGAATGGATTCAGCTTCTGACTGTGCAAAGCTATCTGAAATTAATTTAGCTGGTATTGGTTAGTTCAACTTTGGCATTGCTACAAGGTGTAGCTGGAAACCTAGTAACTTCTAGCGCTAACATCCATGCCCACATAGTCCAGAAAATGGTCTGCAGCCATATGTAATTGGGCAAGTAGGAACTCTACATATCTAAGTGGCTTAGTGATTATTTAGGATGGTGTTCGGTTTCTTTGGTACCATATGTCTGATGAATAAAACCTTGCCGCTGACTACATACGATGGGTAGTTTAATTATCCTATTCAAAATGTTAACCTTTTCAAGATGGTTATTTTGAGGGACTGCAATTTGAGATGTGTTATCATATACAAACGAACAATTAAGACAGTGGGAACTTATGTCCTATTGTTGAGAGAGTAAACATCACCCCCAATGCACTATTGATCAGAAATATTCTCAAAATCTTCAGATTACATGTCATGCCTCCAGAAATTCTGATATCAAGACAAACAACATTGTTTGTTCTTACCCCAAGCTCAGTGGAAAGTATCAATGCCTTCCCTTTACTGCTCAGGTCTTTGTATAGTGCTTCTATTTCATCATGATATTGCCGAGTCCGTTCCTCTGTTGTTTGGGTTTCCACAGAAAACAGCATGTTGCCAACTCTGGTCATAAAATAAATGACATAGACAACATTGATGGGAAAGTATGCATCTTGCTTCTTAATCACAATCTCATAGAATATCATGACAAAAATATTTTCATAAAGTGCTTTTTCTCCCCCTTTTTTCTGCAAGCAATATCTCAACAGTACAACATAATGCAAAGAAGCACGCACACTCTTATTTCAATATTTTTCTCCTTCCCCAAGGAATAAGTCAATTAGGAAAAAAAATTGAAGCTCAAAGGATAGCAAGGGGACACATTGTTTTTTGCACTATTATGATCCCAGCTGATGGTACTACTGAGCAAGTCAGATCCAAGAATGAAATTTGGCTTAGCAGGTTTTTTAGTTAGTTAGTTAACATGGTGATTAGTCACGGAAACATTTTCACACAAGACTGCAAATTTTCTGTAACTACAGAACAGAAATTTATTAAACAAAAAAAAAAAGTAAACATAGAATACAGATAGAATGATCTTAAATCACACAGCGAAACAAAATTTTAACTTATTTCCTTGACACTGTTCATGACAGACACTTAAATCCACACAAGTTGGACCCGTATCTCAACTCTTTAGGGTTCCTACTCCAAAGACCCCTTACTTTTTCTTTGCTACAGACACTAGACATTAATTTTGATGAGTCCTTTCCAAGTCTGCCAATATGAACATTTTCACAATTCTGAAAGTTGACATTTTCTCATTTATAGTAACATCCAGATTTCAAGCAAACCACCTCGATTTGGAATGTCACAAATTAAATCCTTCCAAGGTGACTTATTCCCCAAACTTCCCCTAGGAGACAAACGAAACTTGCTTTTAAATCCAACCCCGGTGTCTTCTGAACTGAATTACACAACTTGCTCAATCCTAGATTCTTCTGAACTGAAAACCAAGCTTAAATGTTTACACTTCCCGTCACAAACCCAATAGCATAAACATCTTTCCATTGACGTCATAGGTTTCTGTAGTCACTCGATTTCTGACAAAATGCTGTATTTAGTCACTGTTCCAGAACGACACTCTGACTTTGTTTCCTTTTATAAGAAATCCCTTCACAGAAATACTAATACCCATGTCTCAGTTCAATCACCCTATGATCTTTGTGACACGATCTGCCTGTATTGCACACAAAACTTTTCATTGTACATAGGTAAGTGGCAATAAACCAAATCTATTTTGAAATCCAAATTCTAAAAATATTAATAGATATAAATTATTTATCTTTCATCATAGCACTCAAGATTATCATCAGTATCATGATGTCAAACTATATTCTACAACAACACACCTCCATCCTAATCTCAAAAAATGTATACACCTCTTCACCAGACTGACACCTACATTCCCTATGCCAGCTATTCTCATCCTTATATTACGAGCAATCATGCCAATCTGTCCTGAATTTTGGGCAGTATTGCACATGAAGAACTGTGTTAAGACTAAAAACATGTTACTGACAGAACAAAAAACAAGGGCCATTTTTTCCAACAATCCAACTGCATTTATTTAACCCAGGTCTCAATAGCTCACTCTTCAGAAATATCATTAAGACATAATTTAGAGATGAAGAAATACCATTGATTCCATCAAAGGCCATTCCTCTGATACATGAACTCTTCCATCTTAATGTCTCACTGTCCTTTCGATACCTTTATTTCCTTGCCTTATGTCTTTATGGACAGGCCATCCCTATTCAATAATAACTGCAAGTTGAATCAAAGTCAAACCTTAATTATTTATTCAACTGTATAGTGGTCAACCTACCTGTCACCTGTTATGGTGATGGTAAATCCATCATATTCTTTTCCTTGATGTTTTAAACTGGGCACCTTTGTGTTTACTGTGAACCCATCCCGGGTTTTGCTGTTGAACTGCTTCCAAACAAAGAAAATAACAAAAATTACCCATGGCTATCTTAACAAATTGCCAAAATTTTAAAAATCTGTATCCTCCAAGGAATTCCTTCCCTCCTCCCCAATAAACTTAACGGTCAGAAGAATTAAGAACTAATGGCCCCTCAAACCTTTTCCACCATTCACTATCATCATAGCCGATGTTTACCTCAACGTCACTTTCTCATCTGCTCCCCATATCCCATGGGACCAAAAACGTATTGACATTGAGTTCAAAAATACTCAATGATGAAACAACCACAACCATCTGGGGCAGATAATTCCAAAGATTCATGATTCTAAGAAATTTCTCAGCTCAGTCTGAAACGATCGACTCTTATTTCTAAAACTATGTCCCCTTTCGAATACACATCTACTTTCTCAAAGAACATTAATTTCACTAGAATTGGTTACCATAAGCAGAAATCTACCAGTGTCTCATTTAATAAATTCCATTGTCTAGCATGGTACTGAACTATACGAATGTCACATTGCTGCAATATGTTCATACAAGTGTTATCAGTTGATCAAACCATCTTGCCACATTAAAGATTTAAAGAACACGCAATGGTATATCAAAACACTGGCTATGTCCATATTCTACAACATAGCTTAGCAAAATTTTAAGCAAACAATAAAGTTCCATCTCCTCACAATTTGAGATTACTGGAAAGACAATTCTTTAAGAATTTCCCGAGACAGTCAACTGATACAAATTAAAAATGTAATTTGTTCTCTTCAGCCTTGTTTGGTCCAACTCTGTCCCCAAATTACCAATTTTGTGGGGTTTTCTTGAAAAAATTAGCAAAGTCAGAAAAAAAGTTCATAAAATCTGTGCCAATTCAGGCAGGTCTCTGTGCTATGAATTAAGAGTTGAATTTATACTGGTGTTGTCTCTTTCAGATTTTAGAACACCAGCATTTACACTACCAAATTTAGTTAGAGTATTAGATAAAAAAGAACAGTTTGTGGAAGTTTTTTCACCTTGCATTCATCAAGACATTCACAAGAAAAACCAAGTTAAAGTGGGAACAATATTTTATCCTGTATCAGAAGACAGTGCTGATTGGTTGGCAAGTGAATTGAAAATGTTGTACACTGGTATTTTTGCAAATGTCCTGCAGCACAAGATAAAATGTGTCTTTTTTTTTAAAAAAAACAATACTCAGATTCTGTACTACGACTATTTGGAAATCCAGCTCCCTTATCCCAACAGCAGACTCTTAGGTCCTACCGTATCTAAAAGCGCAAGTTTTAAAATCCAGTTCATGGGACCTGAATTAAACTAGGGTCAACAACATGTAACATCACTCATCTTGCCTACAAAGGTTCATTCAAACCCAGACAACAGAAGTGAAAATGCAATCTTAACATCAATAACTAAAGATACCAGCTCTGAAATAATAATAAAAATATTCTTTAAAAATGTGAGGAGAGTTTCTATGGTGAATTTACTTTCATAATTGGAAGGAGGTCCTCGATTTTTTTCACTTTCTCCAGGGCATCTCTCACTTCAGAAAGGCCTTTGGGATTATTAGTACTAGAGGAGAGGAGGGAAAAGTTACTTTCATGTTTAGAAAGGTCTCTTAATTGTAAATGAAGTCAAATTTACCTTATTTCTCTTACTCCTTTTCATACACAATTGAAAAACTACAAGAAATATAAAATTGCAGAACAGGAAAAGACTATCTGGTTCATCTAACCTGCCCCATATCATTTGGGCAAACATTCAGAATAAAAACTTCTTCCCTTGCTTCCTATTACTGTCATGCCTCCAGCTTACAGGAAACATGTGTTATGATTGGAAGTTTTTTTTGAGATGATAGTGCAATGAGATTGTCTGTCTAATTCCAAGTAGAAAAAAGTAATGAATAGGGTCATGCAATCCACTTCAAGATCTGCCTGACATCAAGCCTAGGTGCCTTGTTACCACAGATTCAGGGAGGACAAGAGAGAAAAATACAAAATATTCACATCTGTAAATAACGTAAACCCAACTGGACTAACTGTGGATGGAATTTCAATCTTCAAGTTTTTGGCCAAAAAAGAAAATAAAGGAGAAGAAAGAAACTCAAAGGCTGCCACTGTATGGTCAGCAGTATGATTCTCTCTGAATCACCAAGCAGAAATTCAGGAGACGAGATGGTCTCTGGTCAAAGAAATGCATCCCGTGGCAATCCAAGGAATCAGGAAGATATACCCTGGCATGGTTTGGGAGGGTGGGGGAAGAGGGGCTTGAGGAGAAAGAACCACCAGAGCAGACCTTACTGCTACTATTCAGTTTGGGACTGCTCCTCTTCTCAGAAGTGCCTTCTGGTAGTCATTTGACACTAGAACTTGGCAAATTGGGAAGAAGTGAACTCTTGGGAAGCTGGGAGTGATGTTGTTCTGATTCCTGTAAAAAATGCAAAGCTGCAGAATAAAAGCAGTGAAATACAACTTGGACATGAAATGTTCAATTTTGTTACCAGTTTGGAGAGTGGGGTATATCTTTTCTGTCGTTTATTGTATTAGTTACCTAGTTATCACTATTCACAGGGATTATAACATCTGAAATTGCCTCCCTAACCCCTCCAATACTTACAAAACTGGTCAAAATAAACCAAAGCATTCAACAGAACCACCATTAAATATATTGTATTGTGAATAAAAGCATCCACGGTAGTTGCAGATCTCTTCAAGCACTCAGTATTTTTGAACTGTGGATGTTAAAGTTGTTCCTTTGATTATAGAATAACAGCATGAAAGGTTAACTTGCAATGTCCAGCAAGATTAAAAAACGTGAATTACCCATGATAAACAAGAATTCTGTCTTTTATGAAGTTCAGTATTTTGTCGAAATATGCCAAGTACCGCATGTTAATTATTTGACCCCTGAGGAAGAGAGGATATAATTATTTACTGTTGATAGGATTGGGTTTAGCAGAACACAAGTGATTGAAAACGTCAACTAAAGTTTATGAAATCAACAAACAGACAATTACCTCACATCCTCATGTTAAGAGAACCGGGAGATTCCCATATATCAGGAAATCACTTTATGCAAAATTAAGCTGAGAGTGCTAGAAGGTCTGCTCACAGTGTTTAGACGGTGTACAAGTGGTACACTTAAATGTTCTCTACCACTGCCTCATTAACATTAATTCTCTCTCATCCCCAAATTTGCAATATTGTGATGGAATATCGTAGCAGCAAAACTACTCTCTCAAATGGTGCAAGCTGATTAATACCAATCATCCAGGGATTTGTACTTTCGTGGGTCATACAAGTGCATACACTTGACAACTTTTAAATCAATGCCCCTGTTCACAGGGGCACAGTTGTGGTTGCTGGTACTCATTGATCTTGACATTCAGATTTAGGACTTGCCCCACCCAGAGAACATTAACAGCCATTTCCAAACCTTCAGGCTCACATAACTTAAAAAACCCACAAACAAGAAAAATAAACAAATGTCACTGAATACAGTGGGCTTCAAGGGTCATACTGTTTCAGAGATAGGAGGAACTGCAGATGCTGGAGAATCTGAGATAACAAAGAGTAGAGCTGGATGAACACAGCAGGCCAAGCAGCATCAGAGGAGCAGGAAAGCTGACGTTTCAGGTCTAGACCCTTCTTCAGAAATGATTCATTTCATTTCATTTCTGAAGAAGGGTCTAGACCTGAAACGTCAGCTTTCCTG